GAAAAAAATAGGATGAGATGAACTGGGAGTCAGTTCAACAACAGATTGAATACACAAAAAAAAGATGGGGAGAGCTGACTCTATGTCACCTTACATGACAGCAATCTGTCAAAAAAAACCCCATAGCCACTCCATCCTCCCACTGGACTAGCAGAAGCCCAGGTCCAGCTGTCGGGGGACCACGTACTCACAGGTGGCAGGCTGCTCTCCAGGATGCTCAAGCCCCCCCTGAGCCCAGCAATTGACTACATCAGGCTGAGTCCCATGTGTCCCCAGAAAAAAATAGGTCAGTGAGACCCATTATCATAATTATGTGTCTTCATTTAAATTACTTAAACTGATGGTGAGGGTGAAAGAAGTTGTTTCTAGGAAACCTAAGTAGAATACTTTGAAGAGACTTGACAAAGTGCAGTTGCTTAAAAATAACAACTGTGGCTGAATAAAAAAAGGTGGGGGCTGATAAAGACTAAGGAAAAAATCATGAAAACAAGGATTCTGCAGTGTGATCCCTTTCCTAGACTTTCAAGAAACTGACCCAGGACACTGGTGATAAAAAAACTTTGGGTGTGGTTTACACAAGAAAGATGAAGTGGAATTCCAATCAGCAAAAAAAAGACTCCAAAAGATTGGCAAATGTATGCATAGTTATATATTTTACATTAAAAAAAAATGTGCGAAATATGAATGTGATTTTCTTTGGTTCTTTTTAATTGACTAAAAAAATTAACTCTCCAACCACCATACCAACTGCTTCAGCTAAAAGTGCTTTTCAAAAAAACTTGTGGTCAGTTCTGGCAGCAAATTTCACAAGAAGCACTGATAAACTGGGATGAAGTTGGCCTCAAGGGGCACCTGATGCTGTCCACAGCAGTGATGGGCTGTCAGGTTGAGGGTATGCAGCCTCAGAATGAAAAAAACGGTCCCCGCCTTGGTCCTAAAAAAACTAACTCTTGACCTACTCATCTACGTGGTTTCCCTTTTCCTTTCAAAGAAGGACCCTTTCGGCTCACCCTCTAGGCTGTAAGCTCAAAGAAGGTAAACAAAATAAAAAAAACAAATGTTCTATGGGTGGACTTTTATATTAGTCACAACTGCCTTTAAAAAAAAATACAGGTTTCCAACTGAGAAAAACACAATGCGTTTGGCTCCACACTTCAAAAAAACCCATCTATGCTGTTCTTTCAGAACAAGATCAAGGCAACAGGGAAAGGAAAAAAATAGTTGATGACACCAGGTGACCAATCAAAGAAAGTACTATTTACTTACAAAAAAACAAGTAGTACACTCACAACTTTTTTAATATATTATTATTTTTTAATTCTCAACTTTGAGAGGTTAGCAGTGTCCCCACTCATACAACTGAAAGATGGAAAAAACAAAGAGGGGGTGCCTGACTTTTCATACACTCAGTCACTTGGCTGGCAATAAGAGAGCCAGGATGCATTCCGAGGCCCAGACTCTAAAATCTACATTCTCCATCCAACATAAAAAAACATCTGCAGAGCTGTGAAGAGCTAGGTGAGCTTTCTTGTGAAAGCACGAAAAAAAATGCGCGCATGCATGTGCATGCGTGGACAGGGAAGCCAGGAAGCTGTGAAAAAAAGAGGATGGCCCATCCGTACACATGGCTGAGGCTATGAATATGCACGGGAGCAACAGGCCACTCCCAACTGTGAGAAAAGAGAAAAAGCTGGTCAGAAATGTTTTGTGGCCAGAGCCCAGGAGTTTATGGGCTGGCCTGGGAGGACAGAGGTTGCCAGAAAGGCAGGGTCAACCACGAGCCAAGAGGGACCTGCCCAGGGCTTGAACAGGAAAGACCTTTCCCAGACGCCTAAAGCGGGGAGAAGAGAGGAAGCAGTTGGGTCTCAAGGAAAAAAAGTAGGGTTGTCGGACAAACACCCACATACCTGGAGGGGCATGCAGAAGAGGGGCCGTCTGTGGAGGGACTAGGGGGTGGTCTGACAGAGCCTCTTCAAAGAGCTGAGCTGTGGGCAAATCTGCTCTGGGCTGGACACGGCTGGGCCGTGCTGGGACACAAAAAAATACAGGTGGTTCTGCTAAGGCAGGGATTCTCAAAGTGGGCTTGGAAAGAAAAAAAGGTGGGGAGAACTGGATATCTGTGTGTTTAAAAGGTCTCAAGTGATTGAAAAAAAATGCTGAGAAATGCATGTGTACCTCATGCTGAACCAAAAGGGTTCCACCCAATTCAGGAAGCATTTACTGGAAGCCTTAGAGGACAAAGATGAACAACCCCAGAAAAAAAAACTCAAAGTGAAGGAAGGCACGTGGATAAAGAAATCACAGTGATCATAATAGGATCACTCTTATGCACAGAGAATTATGGAAACACAGAGGAAGAGTCTTTAAAAAAAAAGGAGTCTGAAAGGCTTCCTGGAAGAGGTGACCTATGAGCTAACCCCAAAAAAAACCATATGAGAAGAGAAACCCCTATGCTGAGGGGTAAATTCTCCAGGAGAAAAAAACCCTCCTTTAGTCCTCAAGAGATGCCAATCAGAGGCTGATGCTGTTAAAAAAAAAAAGGCTCTGTTTCTACTGTGGGAAATCTGGGAATGCTTGAAAGGCACCAAAAAAAGGAGCGAGTCTGAAGAGTTATGCAGGGAAAACTGGCGAACACCTACATCAAAACCATTAATCTGCTTGTCACCAACAGGAAAATTAAGAAAATGTGTTTCTGCCTAGCTGGATGCCAGCCACACCTGCCTATCAAGTTGACGTGTGATGGAATAAAGGAAAAAAAAGTGATGTGCTGCTAAATGCTTACAACTGGCTCTCCGAGGGAAAAAAATAACAATCCCTGATTTCTGGGGTTTGCCAATTTTCATGGTGCATTACTTCCACTGAAAAAAACTTCGAGCTACCAGTGTGGCTGAATCTGTCCCTGAATATGGAGTTGGGAAGAGATGCACAGAAGGGGCTTCTCAGGCTGGTGCACAACACTGGGCCCATCATGAAAAAAAAAACCCTATGTCAGTTCCAAGGATCCCCGGAGAAAAGACACAGCATTCAAAAAAAGAGAGAGAGAGAGAGAGAGAGAGAGTGTGTGTGTGTGTGAGTTGGGGGAAAAAAAAGAAGGGGGCAAGGGACAATGACAACACAATCCAAAACTAGTATCACCAAAAAAATTAATGCACAAAAATAAGAGCGCACAAGAAATAAAGTTCAAACATCCGAAAAAAAAAGAAAATTAATAAATAAACCTAATGGAAACCAATCCGAAAACCCAGGAAAAAAATCTGAATAAATGTTAATCTTTCCTGATCGAGGCTCTTAAGCCATGAAAGTGACCTCTTCGAATTAAAAAGATAATAGTGTTCTGATTTTAGTCTGCAACCTTATCTTCCTCCCACAAACATTTTTTTTAAAGATTTTATTTATTTGGGGTGCCTGGGTAAAAAAATTGTTAAGCGTCTGCCTTTGGCTCAGGTCATGATCCCAGGACCCTGGGAAAAAAACCTGAGCCGAAGGCAGACACTTGACCACTGAGCCACTCAGGTGCCCCCAAAAAAATTTTAGATATAGGATGCACTCACTCTGGTTACCCATCAAGGGCACCGTAAAAAAAGCTGAAGAGAGACAAGCCGTGGGGGTCCTGAAAGGGACGTGACCTGCCCTTGTCAGACTCTCCATGCTAGACCGAGCCTCACCTCCTTTGCATCCCATTTCCAAAAAAAAGTGTGGAGGCCCACTGAAACCAAAGTCAGGCAGGAGGAAAGTGGCGGCAAAAAAAGGCAAACCAGGTCATCACCAGATTCCTTACTTTCCTTAAGGACCCCTGAAAAAAAACCTCACCGGCCCTGGATGCTGTTTTTGGAATTCCTGTTTCTGATGGAAAAAAAAAGTTTTCCTTTGTCCTCTGTGGCTTTCATACTTGCAAGCAGTGACTGCAAAAAAAGGCTCAGATGCAGGCATACCCCCAACAGCTCCGCGGCCTGTCTCACACAAAAAAAGAACTGCTCCCGCTTTAAGAACGCGTAACGGTTCCCTTGGGGGACCTGCTGCCATCCAGCAACCAGGTGAGGGAGTCGCCTGCCATCAGGTGGCAGTTCCAGAAAAAAAAAGGGCGTGGCAAGCACCCCCTGGCTGGTGGGTCCTGGCACCCCACACTCCTCACAAAGAGCTGCACCCACACCTGTCTTACTTTGGCACAGAGGGCCCGGTTTGGCGAGGCTCCTCAGGGAGATGCCAACCCTGTATTCTTCCAGGGCCTACTCAAGAAAAAAAATCAGAAATCAGTCCTCTGTGTTCCAAGGGCTTCTCCCTTTACATCCAAAAAAAAAGGTGGACAAGAGACTAGTCTGAAAAGCCTATCCTTCTATACTTAGAGAAAAAAAATCAAAGTATATACCAGCGAATCTCAGAAATAAATCAGCTTTTCCAACGAAAAAAAGGAATGTGACTGGAGGAATTCCTCTGCCCACAGCAGTTTGGTGGCTTCACAGGTCAACATTTCTCAAAGACATCCTTCCAGCATTTACTGTGTAGCCTTGGGCCAGGGACCTAACCCCTCTGTGCCTCAGTTTCTTCATCTGTAAAATGAAGGCAGTCAAAAAAATGCCTCCTAGGCTTATTGCAAAGGTTAAATGAGTGTGTGTGCCCAAATAAAAAAAAAGGATACTTGGCAGAGGGAGCCATAGGGTCTAACTCCAATAATAATGTCAGCTCTTATTACGGTAGCCACAAACTCTGTGTTGGCCTCACTTATGTCACTTAGAATTTTCAGTTATATGCAAACGAATGAAAGAAGAATCTCCTTCCACCCAATGATAAAAAAACCACACAGTGTCTTTCCTACAGAAGGGGAAAGCGGGGCCCGTGCCCCCTAACCGGAGGGCACGAAAGGATGAATGGGGCCTTGCAGGGTCTACCCAGGTCAAACTGCCTTTCAGAGGAAAGCTACAGCAGACATGGTCAGACCCAGCAAGTGGATAAAACAATCACTGTCCAAACAAAAGAAGCTGCACTGCCAATCCCACACTTACTTCCAGAAAAAAACATTGTTCAACAACAATAGCATCATAGCCCTGCATGGTTTTGCTATCTAAAAAAAAAACAGCTTCAAAGATGAATACTCCATCTGTCAGGCCGTGGAAGGAATAAAAAAAAAAAGAAAAAGGCGGTGGGGGGGGGAGTTCTGTAAACCGTCTGTGACAAAAAAAATACAAGCAGCAAAAATTTTCACTGCATTCATTAATAATCCCAATCAGAAAAAAAATTCAGCATGTTAATTAAAGACGGCACACACAGCCATAGAGTCTAGCCCAAAAAAAATGAATGAGACTAATTTACCTCTCAGTTCTGAATAATATCCTTGATTTAAAAAAACCAAATTTCATTGTTAGCAATCACCATTTGATTTCACGCGTTTACCTTAAAAAAAACGCTCCAACGTCAGGATGCACTGGGGAGAACTTATTCAGGGTAAAACACAGTCATTTAGAGACAGTTTTTAGAAGAAAACTATATTTAGGTAGAAGAGATTTTTAAGGGGGGACAGATAAAACACACCAGACCCGAGCTGGTCAGATGCAGTCTAGATGCACAGATTCCTGGAAGTTCTCAGGATGTGGGCAGCTGTACAGACAACTCTTCAGCTAGCTCTTGTCAAGAGGCAGAATTTGCGGGAAAGGGGAATTTTCCCAAACGATAAAAAAATGAAAATGTTTCCTCCAGCATTGCTCTAGTCAGTGTACCAGGTCCTGAAAAAAAAACAATTCAACAAACTTACATTAAACACATAACAGGATTCAAGAAGGATAAAAAAACTTAGGCAAGGAGAATATAAAGAAAATTATACCAGGGTCCCCGCCACAAAAAAAATCATTATGGGGGGTGCTTTCTACCCCTTTTTAATGGCTCCTAAATGCCAAAAAAACACTTCGATAAAAGACAGTGGGAAAGAGGACTGGCCAGAGAGGCAGGCAAAAAAAAACCATGCTCTATCACGAAAAGGGATGTGACCCCTTCAGAGGCTTGGTCTCTCATCTGCGAAATGGGATTGAGGATACAGAATCACTCCTGGCCCCTAGATTCAAAAAAACAAATCAGGCACACTGCTATGTACTGAATTGTGTCCTCCCCCCGGCCCCCCAAATTCATTTGAAGCACTAACTTCCAGACTGTATTTGGAGAAAGGGCCTTTAAAAAAAAAATGAAGGTTAAATGAGGTCATCAGGGTGGACAATTATCTGATTAAGAAAAAAAACCTTGGGCGCCTGGGTGGCTCAGTTGGTTAAGCGACTGCCTTAGGCTCAAAAAAAGATCCTGGAGTCCAGGGATCGAGTCCCGCATCGGGCTCCCTGCTCAGCAAAAAAACTGCTTCTCCCTCTGACCCTCCCCCCTCTCATGCTCTCTGTCTCTCATAAAAAAACCCAAAAAAAAAAAAAAAAAATCAAAAAAAAAAAAGACTGATGTCCTTAAAAAAAGAGAAAGACACCAGAGCGCCCCACCCCCCTTCCCTGCACAGAGGGAAGGCCAGATGAGGATCCAGAGAGAAGAGTGGCTGTCTACACGTTAGGAAGGGAGGCCTTAACCAGAAACCGAATTTGCCAGCACCTTAGCCATGGACGCCTAGACTCCTGAAAAAAAAAAAAATAAATGTCTACAATTTAAGCCATCCAGTCTGTGGTATTTTGCTAAAAAAAAACACACTGAAATATGTTTAATGATACACTATTTTTATTTTAAAAAGATAAAAAAAATAATAATATGATTTTTTTTTTTTATCAGAAAGGGAGGTAAATTCAGAAAGTCCTTTGAATCACACTGGAGTTCTGGAACCGCCAGCATTTTCCAGAAGCCACAAAAAAACAAGACCAGCAGATGTAAATACTTAACAAATATTTAGCCTC